GAAGACAGGGGTTTTCCAATCCAAGTTTAGAAGGGTTTTGAAATTATTCATGGAACTGCTATGCCAGGTAACGTGCCAGAGAAGGTTCTCCTGTAGGTCGTCTGCAGTAAGACTGATGAAGACAAAAGAACAGGCTGTCACCCAGTGCCTAGAGACCAGCAGAACAGCCTCCCTGGCACCACCCTGACTGAGGAACCTCCATCCCTCCCTGGCACCACCCTCACTGAGGAACCTCCGTTCACCCCTGGCAGCACCCTAGGGAAGTTCTGTCCCTCCCTGGCAGCACCCTAGGGAAGCTCTGTCCCTCCCTGGCAGCACCTGACTGAGGGAGCCCCGTTCACCCCACCAGTCTCAGCAGGACTGTCAGGTTGCCCACTCGGTGACCCAGGAGCAGCCCAGCTCCTCCTGCTGACCGGGGCAGCTCCCCCTCCAGCTCCCCACGGGCTGACTCCAGCCCCCCAGCACAGCTCCACCCAGCCTGCTGGTGTGGCTGGCAGGTCCTGGCAGTGCCTCAGTAAGCTAGGTTAGCTCAGGAAGAAGAACAGGACAAAGACCAGAGTCCCGAGGCACACAGCAGCACCAGGAAAAACCACCCGGGGCAGGGAACTGGGCAGGGGTGAGAGGTCTGCTGGAACTGCAACCCTGGACAGAAAGGCAGCAACACCTCTGCTTTAATCATTCTCCTCCTACAACGAGGGACAATCTTTAGTCTTCGTTTTTCTCCCAGGAATAAGCTCTCTAGCACATGGCCATTATCATTCATGGCTACACCTTGGGTGCTTCAAGAGGAGTCTCTGGTATTGGCTTACAAAGAGAAGTAGACTTCGTGTCACCAAGGAGACTGAACTTGCTGAAAGAACCATTTGGCACAAATGAGACCAGAAGCCCTTAACAGAGTCCCCATTCCATGTATTTCATTCAGGGAACAGCACTGGAGAAGGGGATGTTAGCAAGGAATTCTCCAGCATTTAAGCAGCAGCTGTTGAGAAGATGAGAATGTCACACCAACTGCTAAGAGCTGAGCTCAGCTGAGAAATAATCTAGTTTTCCTGACGTACACACTAACTGACCTTGTCCAACCCCAGAAAACCACCAGGAACCCCTGCCAGACTGAAGCACTCTCCTATTCTTGCTTTCCTGTAGCCAAAGTTCACTCTGTTGCAGATCTCAGTTCCATTTCTGTAGCTCACAGCACAGCCACTTTTATGATCATACACAAACAGAAGAACCTCTTACACGTTCAAAAGTTCTGAACTTTTGAACCTATTGACTACTGAAAACAACACTTATAAGAAGCCTTTTTATGATCCAAGTCTTAATGCAAACATTGCTTTGGACACTGTCTGTAAACAAAATTGTAGATCAGAAACTGATGTACATTATTGCTTATCAGGCTGTAGTTCAGCCTGTGACCCAAGGTTCACTTTGCAAGGTAAACATGTTATTTAAGAAGGTTCAAACTGCAGCCAGCAAATGATCGATTAGAAACAAACCATCACCAGGTACCTGATAAACACGAGATGTTTGATTTATCTGGAATGCCAACAGAACCCCAGCTCAGAGACTTCACAACGCTGGGTTGGTTTTTTACTCTCAGTTTCCTCTGGGTTGTTGTAGAGCTGGTGGTGAGGGCAGAGGAACAGCAGCTGGCCCCAGGGCTGAGCGACAGCAGGGAGCAGCCCCCAGGAAAACACTTCCTGGGACTTTCCACCTCCAGAACTGACTTTAGAACATTCAGGCAATACAACCAAGTTTGCAAAAATTTTTAGAGCTGCATATAATACTGCTACTAAGCTGAGTGCAACTGTCACTGGCGTGGGGGCAAAGATCTCTCTGTCCTGTATCATAAAAAAGATTTCTTCCTGGCAACGAGCCAGGACACTGCAAAAGGCAGAAACTGAAACTGGTTTGTTTTTATGTTCTTTTTTTCTTGGAAAGAGAACAGACAGGAAAATACAAAACAAGAAAAGAAAATATCTGCTTTGGAAATTCAACAGCTAAGATTAAAATTCTGTGCCTCCCTCAATAAAACACTGAAGCCAGTTAAACTCAAATTACCCCTGCATATTCTGGCTGGCTTTCTCATGCTACAGCAGCAAGGAACCGAGTGGTTCTCAGGACCACTGCTTACAGGGGGCTGCAGCTCCCCTCCAGTGCCTGACCTGCCCCACGGGGCAGACAGGCCAATCCTCAAACCAGGACTCGCTGCCACTCCGTGGCTCCACAGAGGGAACTGGAGCTATGTACCATCAACAAGAAGGTGTTACTTGGCCTGCTACTAAACCAACCTGTTTTCTTAAACAATTTTTTGTGGTATTCAGTAATAACCACACAGAGGTGCAAGATCCCATCACAAGGCTGCCCACAACGTGTGTTTTCTGTGCCCCTGGAGCGCTGCTCCAGCACAGGTAACCTGCAGGGACTTGTGCTCTTCAGCCAGCACCTTCTGCACAGGGGCACCCCTGGGGACGTGAGCACCACAGACAGCAGCTCAGCAGCCCAAGGGTGGGAGCTGCTGGGAGACGAGCTGTCGGATGGCTCCAGAGATGCAGCTCTGGGGGGCAGGAATTGTGACTATCACTGACAAAGAGAAGTCACCTCAGTGCTGATCTTTGGTAACCAGAGCACACACACATCCCGTTTGTTCTGAGCCACACTCAGAGGGTTAAAAGACAGTCCAACGGCACGTGAAGTAAAGAGTAAAGAAGTTGTACTTCCTTCAAGAGATTAGGGAGAAAAACAAAACAAAAAACACGCGGTCCAGGTTTTCCTCGATTTACCCCACCTTGCCTGTATTTGCATGTGTATATATCATAAGGCAGGAGATTTCCTTAACCAAAGAAAATCCCTAGCAAGGGTTTTACTTGTTTCTATTTTGTATGCTGGAAAGATCGAGGGGAAAAACCAAAGCCTGTGTGAAACAGGACCACTGAAGCATGAGATCTGCTCGGCAAAAACAGGGAACAAAACCACTCTGCTCCCACATAAAGGTTTTAGCTGGGGTTTAGGATTGCTCTTAGCACTGCAGAGCACTCAGGGAACAAAAACGGGAAACAAAGCAAGTCTGCTGATCCCCCAATTAGAGTCTTCCACATACTGCTGAATACAGGCTATCAATTTTTACGTCTTAACTGTGCTGCAGATTACCCCCCCGTACTTAGCAAGAAGCCTGTCAAACTCACCCAGATCCCAGCAGGAAGGGTTCCCTGGGCAGCATCCACGCCGCTGGGAGATGAAGGCATCCCCCACCCGCCCTCTTCCGAGGGGTGCACTCG